TAAGTTGAAGACAATTAATACGATTAAAATTTGAAATAAATATTTTTTCGAGTCTTGTTTTGTTTTCCCTGATATCATAACCAAGTTTTATTAATTCGTTATTGTGTTTATTTTCAAAGTGGTCACACTTTTTTTCATATCCAATAATTTTGTTACACAAAATACAGTACCAACTATTTTTCATTTGATTTTCATTACACTCTTGAATATGAAGTTTGAATATCAAATATAATGAAAATAATTCTTTTCGATTATCAATAAGAGTTTGTTCGTTCATTGTTTGTTGTGTTTATCAAAATGAAATTATATTAAATATGTATATATTATTACCTCTAATCAAAAATTACATCAAAATGTTTTATCTTGTTGATAAAAAAATAGAGGGAATTAAACATAGCATCATTATTATATATAGTTATGAAAATGTATATATTGGGTTATTATTTTTAAAGATGACTTTAATATTGAAGAATGGAATTGTTTTTATTGAATATTTTAATTTCAATGATAAAATGTATTGAAATTTATTATTATAATTTTAAGTTAAATTTGTATTTGACTTATATATTTTAAGTCAATTGTTTTGTTTTTTGTATTATTTATTAAAAACAAATTTTTTATTTTATTTAATATTCTTATTATTATACTTATATGCAATATATTATATTATAAACAATTAAAATGAAATTTATTAAATTAAATAATTCAAACACAATAGAGTATTTAAAAAATCTAGTTTAACAAATAAAATAAACGAAACTTTTATTGACTAAAACTACTTTATTTTGAACAATAAAACGTATACCTACTTTATTAAGATCGAGTCTACCTCATATTTGGTTTGTTCTTAAGAAATGCTCAAATAATATAGAACAACAAAAATAACAATTACACACATTAGGGAAATTAGACTGTATTTATAATTGAATTTGAAATGTTATGGTTATTTTATTCGACAAATCTTAATAAAATTTTATTGTTTGTGATCACGTAAAATGGTGGTGATGATCATGATGGTGTGATAGTTTTTATTAAATTTGTTTTTTCATAGCTTTCTTATTCTTTAAATAGCGTGTTTGGTTTTTCGTTTTGCTTCTAATTATTGAATTTTTTATATTAATTTAATTATAAAAAAGCAATTAATTAGTTCAGGTTATAGTTCAAATATTATTTTTATTGGACTATAAGTTTTACCATTTACCCCAAACTAGTCTTTTAAGTCAAACTTGTCGTAGTGTATGTCTTTATTAAACCGTCGCTATACAATATTCCTTTTTGATTTAAAAAATGAATAAAATAATACAAATTTGAGTGTTTTTATTCATTTAATAAATCAAAAAGGAATATATTTTGATTTCCATGTAATTTAGAAATACAAACTTTATAATGCTATCATTAAACATATATTTTCAAATTATGTGTTTGATTTGTTTTTATTATATTTTTACTTGATTATTATCGTTAACACAATTTATATGTTTTAATAAAAAACATTTAATAAAATTGGATGAAAAACAGTTTCACATCATTGTCTTGTTATAATTAGTAACAATTGATATGTGGTTTTCTGAAGAAAAAAGTTTTTTATATGATATAATTTAAACACTTCAAAACGATTTGAGTCACAAATCGTAGTAATAATTATTATAATTAAAAGATGGTTAATTACCACAAAACTAAATTTATTCGTTTTGATCAAGTATTATCACCTTATTGTGGTTTTAAGTGTTGTTATTTCTAAACATTATGAGATTTAAAGGTTTTAAACATAATAATCCATTTTAAATAAAGTTTATATTATTATTTGTATTACCGTTTTTTAATTTTAATTATCACCAAGATAATGCTATGTTCAATTGATTGAAATATTTAATAAAGTATTCCAATCAATTAAGGCTATATTAAATTTCGGCCTACCTCAAATTAAAATTATTAAAACAGTTTTTAATTATTCCTATTTGATTTAAAAAATGAATAAAATCATTCAAAATTTAAGTGTTTTTATTCATTTTTGATATCTAAAAGGAATATTTAAGGTATTCAAAAAATTTGTAAAAAGTTATGTAGAGTCAGTCGATAAACGTTGTCTTTTTGACAAAAAATAATTGATTTTTGTTTAAAAAACGGGAATAATGTAAAAATGAAAAAACTAGGAAAAATATTGAAACAACGATTTTTTGGTTTTTCAAAAAATTTCCTAAAATATTCCATTTAAAATGGTCTAATAATCGGCAGACAACGTTTATCAAATGACTCTATATAATTTTCAGTCTTTTTTAAAACAGTTTAAAATTATTTCAAATTAAAGTTTTAAAGCTCTTGATTTCGTATATTTTCGAATTAATCATATTGGCAAGGTCATTGTTATGTTTTTCTTTTTAAAGAATACATAATTTATTAATTATTTTATCAGATGTAGTTTACTAAATAAATTTAGTTTGAATGGTGTTAATTTTAATTGGATATATTATATTTATTTCATAAATTGTTTTTTCTGTATCATCATTTAAATTAAAATATATCAATGATATAATATCATTATATTTTATATATTTATAATAAATATATAAATTATATATATAATATAACTCATTTTAATATAAACTCTGGACACAAAGTCCGACGTATCGGACTTTCGGATTTGTTTTTCTGCTATTTTTTAACATTTTTATTGAAATAATTAATCAATTATGTCAAGAAAAACGGGAAATGTGCTAAATGTTATGAGCATTTATAATTCTTATATTATTTTTGATGTGTTTTTCTTCAATTATTTTTTTGTTCATCCCACAAAAACGTTCATTAAAACATTCATTGTTTTCACAAATTATAAATAAAGTAACTACTTTGTTCTGATATGTAAAAATAGTTTTTTAGCATTAACAAAAATATGAATTTTTGATTATATATAATCAACATCTCTTTTTTTCATAATTAAAAAAAGTGGATGTAAAAAAACTATAATTTTTATTAGTTTTATTAGTTTTTGCTTCCTACGATTAATATGGGTGCAAAGAGACTTATCTAAAAATATAAATTAGATGTTCATTTTAATCATTTGTAAACTATTTAATATTTTTTTGTTAATTTAACAAAAATTTATACAAACATCATATTTATGATGTTTGTATTTCCTTTTGATTACAAACGACGTTGATATGATGTTCATATTACTTTTTAATACACAAACATCAAATTAATGATGTTTGTGTCCCTTTATGTAACAATTTAATCATAATTTATGATTTTTAACTAAAATTCAAAAACGATCATCTGTAATATTTTTTTGTTCCATTAATTTTGAGTCTATTTTTATATTTTTATTATTTACTATAAATTATATGTTTAATATATAGTTGTTTTATCATTTTTTGAATTTTTTCACATATTTTTCAACCCTGTCAATTGAAAACGGTAACAAATTAACTATAAAATAGTTGTTTTTATTTCTATTTAACTATATTGAAAACCAAAAATAGATGTTACGGTTAGGGCAGGTAGCCCGGCCGAAATCGCTTTTATATATATTGATAATAATATTTTACAATATAAAATATAATATATTTTATATTATAGACACAGGTTTTCAAAATCACAATGCTAATTATACACGTCACCATTTTATAACCAAAGTGTTCGTTTTATCTTATAAATTCGTACGTTATAATACCACATTTTCGGCAATAATTATTTTAGAAACGCCTGATTATCGATTTTTTTTTATTTATTCTATATATTATTATAAGTTAATAATTTTTAAGTACAACCAATATTATTTTTTTTAACTTCTTAATTTTATTTATGGTTTCATATTTTTCATTGCTATAATTAATAAAAGTTTTATTAATTCTATACAACACTATTTTTAATTTAATTTATATTTTATAAAAAAAGTCAAAAAATATATTATAATGTTTTTATAAAAAAAATTTATTCACAAAAAGTTTTATCTGAATGAAACAAAGAGTAAAACAGAGAAGATGAGTGTTATATGTAAATAACTTGAAAATTCAAGTTGATTTACTAATTAACAAATAAAGAAGAATGTAAATAACCAGAGATAAACGGTCAAGATAATCAATATGAATGCTTATGTCGACATGGCACAGAAGCAAATGCTTTGGGCTTAATTAACAGACAACCAGAATATTTTTGTTATTTTAATGATGGAAGTGATATCATAAAGAGTCCAAAGCATTAATGGTGTTTAATTAAACAGTGGAATGTTTAATTCCACGAGACTATAATTCATTGGATTTAAAAAGAAAGACACGGACAGTGATCACCGGCAAGGCCTGGTCTCCACTGCAATAAAAAATTTGATATTAGTCTCAATAGCATTCCCTGGCTTCGTAGTCAGTTTCTTAATAGTCGATCGGATTGGAAGAAAGCCGTTACAGTTGTTTGGATTTGCTGGGACAGCAGTTTGTTTCTTTTTTATGGCGTTCTTCGAGAGTATAGTGTTGGACAACGTCCCCTATACTCTTTGTCGCTGTTTATGGCCTTTCAATCTTCTTCCAAACATGAGGCTAAACACAACTACTTATATCAATGCCGCAGAAACATATGTCCCACGAATTCGTGGGACTTTTAATGGACTCTCCGCGTCATCGGGGAAAATGGGTGCTATGTTCAAAACAGCTATTTTCGAACCATTTTCGTCCAAGTTTGGTCACTTGGCGACGTTCTGTACATGTGGTGGATTGATGATGATAGGGTTCTGTTTGTCGTTCATTGTCCCTGAAGGAAAGGGCATCGATATCTAAGATGTCGATGTTCTTTACGACATCGACATGAGAGGTTCGAAGACGATACTTTAAAAAGTGTCGAGAAATAAAAACGATTGTTATTTACAATCATTTTTATTTGATAGTTGTTAAGACATTATAGAAGAATTAAGTAAATATTTGTTATTTTTGAAACAAAAATTAATTCACTATCGAAAACAAGAATTAATTAATAATTTTAATAACTTTTTTAAAGTCTCAAAATTAATTAAATCAATTTGTAAAGACACAAACAACAATATCAGAGCAGGAAAGAATAAAAACAAATAAAAGGCGTATTTTTAAAGTAATAAAAAACCAAATAAAAAATGATTTAAAAATTATTTATTTGCAACCACCAAGTTTTTGATTTATTTGTCAATTTATTTTAAAATCAACTTAATTCGACAAATAATTGATTTTTATTGTTTAATTTAAAATAAAATAAGTCTTGAATTTTTTTGTTGTATTTTTCGTATGTTATAAATATAGAAATTACAATTATGACAATGATAAGTGTCGTTGTTTGTATAATTTTATTTTTGTAAAACAAAAGTTATTATTTTTTGATTCAAATAATTATAATAATTATAATATTTTGTTTAACTTGTTAAATTGTATTTTTGGAATAACAAAAAAGTTGGAATTGAATGAAAACCAATATTTTGTTGTGTTTATTAACAGACATATTTTATAATTCGACTGTTCAAATAACAGTTACTTAATTTTTAAAATACAGAAAAACAAAAAAATAATTTTATTATTTAAATATTTATAAATATTTTTTTTAATAGTAAATATGAGTAAAAATATATTATTAAATAGAATTAATTTTTGGAAATGTTCAAAAATCACCAAAATATCACATCAATTGCTCGACAACATCAATAAAACTTTGGAATATATATCCAAAAACAAAAAATGTTTATTTTAAGAATAAAATAAAGTGTATTTTATTTCACAAAATACCTCTATTTTAATTTAAAATGCTTTGATTTTAATGTTCAAATAAAAACACAACAAAAACAATTGGGTAACAAAGAAAACGGAGACGTGGTGGCATTGTTTCGATTTTTTTGAATAGAAGCATGAACGACAATATTTTTATTTAATATTTGTTTGATATTATTTTGAAAACTATAATAAAACCATTAATGCACATTGAATACAATTTAAAACCAGAAGTCAAGAGATGGCATACAAAGATCCAATTAGTTTGTATTCTGACATTGTATTAATAGAATACCGTATTTTTGGTAGATGATAAATAAGAAATTTAAAAATAGAAAATTAAACAATACATAAAGCAAGAATTTGATATTTAAACACATTGATTAACATGGCTACCTGATTGTGAAAATACTTGTTATATCTCGAAAACGAATATGCTGTATTAAACCAAATGGATTATGTCTAAAATTGCAAGCATACATTCAAAGCTTGTAATTCTCTGTATGTTTATTATATGTAAACAAATACAACCAACAACCAAGGCGTCATTAATGAACAATTAACAGTATTATTATTAACATATACACTCTCTCTTTAATCAACACCAAACGAAAACAAGGCGCCCTTGCCCATTTGGTTACAAAACATCATTATTATTGCACACAGGTTGTTTCTGCTTGTTTTAACATTTAAAGTATTAACCATACAGAAAGTGATCATCCATATAGACGCCGGCTTATACATAGTCGGCATCCAATGTAATTGGACAATATATCCCCATCAAATAGCCATTGCCATTGTGACTCTTTTATTACAATAAAGGAGTCCCTTTTTGTTGTTTAAATAAAGTTAGACTGAATATAAAAAATCAATAAAACAAATAAATAGCGCTTATACGGCACAAATAACAGTCTACGCAACAAATCATAGAGGTGTGAGCGCTTATATTTATAATATTTATATTATAAATATGATACAGAGAAAGACATAAAGGAAATAAAATGAAGATTGAAGAAGAAATGAAGAAGAAGTCGCTGGGATATAATTGATCGATTACATTGTAAGTTCATCGTTTTTTATTTGTAAAATTTGTTTTAAAAAAATAAAATAGCTTATAATTGATCATACAGAAAGTAATAAACGTATAGACAAATTATAATTGTTTATAAACTTTTTATTCTAAAATTAATAAAACATCTAACATTCATACATTTTATTATAGTAGTCAG